AATTCGACTATCTCTCGATCTCTTTTGGGTTGGACTGGATGGCCCTTGGGGTGGAAGGGGTTGATTCTGTGACGCAGGAAAGGCTCACCCTCTCTTTCCTCCTCTCTTCCATGCAGGCCATCCTCAGCCACATGCGTGTGGAGTGCAAGTGCCACGGCGTCTCGGGCTCCTGCGAGGTGAAGACCTGCTGGAAAGCCATGCCTCCCTTCCGGAAAGTGGGCAACGTGCTGAAGGAGAAATTCGACGGGGCCACGGAGGTGGAGCAGCAGCAGCGGAGGGGTGGCTCCTCGTCATCGTCGTCGTCGTCCGCCAAAGTGCTGGTGCCCAAGAACTCCCAGTTCAAGCCACACACGGACGAGGACCTGGTCTACCTGGACTCCAGCCCCGACTTCTGCGACCACGACGCCCGCAGCGGTGTCCTGGGCACCGGGGGGCGCCACTGCAACAAGACCTCCAAGGCCATCGACGGGTGCGAGCTGATGTGCTGCGGGAGGGGTTTCCACACGGACGAGGTGGAGCTGGTGGAGCGCTGCAGCTGCAAGTTCCACTGGTGCTGCTTCGTCAAGTGCAAACAGTGCCACCGGGTGGTGGAGATGCACACGTGCCGGTGACACGCACGTACGCACGCACGCGGTGGACACAGAACGCTCTCTTTCGATAAAGACAAACTATATTTAAAGCCCTCGAACGCACGGCTCCTTGGGTGATTCGTTCATTGGTGAGGCCCTCGGAATATTCCGAGTACTCCGGAGCCGTCCCTTCCGCTCTCTCTTTTTTTGGGGAGACCCAGAACTCTTATCTTTTTTTATAAAGAAAAACAATATTTAAAGCTTTTTGGTGGTTCCTTCGTATTTAACCAGTGGTCCGTGGAGTACCCCAAGTGGTCCCCAAGAATGAAAATATGGTCTGCGATCTAACCATTACTACACAGTTGCCTCGAAATCACGTGACGACGAGAGTGACTAGTCTTGCGAAATCCTCTTATAGAGACGAGGCAACTGGGATGTCGGAAGTGGGGGGGGGGGCTGACTAACCACGTAGGATTACTACTACCACCTCAGGTCTAGATTACTGAGGTCGAGCTGATCGTGACTACTGGATAGACCACATCAGCTCAGGAACTAGAGCTGATGTGGTCTATCCAAGATCCCTGGTCAAAGTCCCTGGTCAGAGTGGTCCCTGGTCAAGAGTCCCTGGTCAAGTGATCTCTGGTCAAGTCATTCCTGGTCAAGTGGTCCCTGGTCAAAGTGGTCCCTGGTCAAAGTGGTCCCTGGTCAAAGTGGTCCCTGGTCAAAGTGATCCCTGGTCAAGTGGGCCCTGGTCCAAGTGGGCCCTGGTCAAAGTGGTCCCTGGTCAAATGGTCCCTGGTCAAAGGGTGCCCTGGTCAAAGTGGTCCCTGATCAAAGTGGTCCCTGATCAAAGTGGTCCCTGGTCAAAGTGGTCCCTGATCAAAGTGGTCCCTGGTCAAAGGAGTTTCTGGTCAAAGTGGTCCCTGGTCAAAGTGGTCCCTGGTCAAAGTGGTCCCTGGTCAAGTGGTCCCTGGTCAAAGTGGTCCCTGGTCAAAGTGGTCCCTGGTCAAGTGATCCCTGGTCAAGTGGTCCCTGGTCAAAGTGGTCCCTGGTCAAATGGTCCCTGGTCAAAGTGGTCCCTGGTCAAAGTGGTCCCTGGTCAAGTGGTCCCTGGTCAAGTGGTCTCTGGTTGAGTGGTCCCTGGTCAAAGTGGTCCCTGGTCAAGTGGTCCCTGGTAAAAGTGGTCCCCATTCAAGTGGTCCCTGGTCGAAGTGGTCCCTGGTCGAAGTGGTCCCTGGTCAAAGTGGTCCCTATTCAAGTAGTCCCTGGTCTAATGGTCCCCGGTCCAAGTGATCCCTGGTCAAGTGGTCACTGCTGAAGTGCCACCTGATGAAAGTGTTCCCTGGTCAAAGTGGTCCCTGGTCAAGTGGTCCCTGGTCAAGTGGTCCCTGCTCAATGTGTTCCCTGGTCTAAGAGGTCCCTCATCAAACTGTTCACTGGTCAAAGTGGTCCCTGGTCAAAGTGGTCTCTGGTCAAAGAGATCCCTGGTCAATTGGTCCCTAGTCATAGTGGTCCCTGGTCAAAATGGTCCTTGGTCAAAGTGCTCCCAGGTCAAAATGTTCCCTGATCAAGTGGTCCCTGATCAAGTGGTCCCTGGTCAAATTGGTCCCTATTCAAGTAGTCCCTAGTCTAAGGTCCCTGGTCAAAGTGATCCCTGGTCAAGTGGTCACTGCTGAAGTGCTTCCTGGTCAAAAGTGTTTCCTGGTCAAACTCTTCACTCGTCAAAATGTCCCTGGTCAAAGTGTTCCTGGTCAAAGTGGTCCCTGATCAAAGAGATCCCTGGTCAATTGGTCCCTAGTCATAGTGGTCCCTGGTCAAAGTGGTCCGTGGCCAAAGTGGTCCCTGGTCAAAGTGGTCCCTGGTCAAAGTAGTCCCTGGTCAAAGTGGTATCTGGTTAAAGAGGTCCCTGGTCAAAGTGTCCCTGTTCAGGGTGATCCCTGTTCAAGTGGACCCTGGTCAAGTGGCCCTTGTTAAAGTGATCCCTGGTCAAAGTGGTCCTTGGTCAAAGTGGTCCCTGTTCAAATGGTCCCTGGTCAATAATAATAATAATAACAACAACAACAATAATCAGCATCATCATCTTTATTTATACCCCGCCACCATCTCCCCAACGGGGACTCGGTGTGGCTAACCCTGGTCAAAGTGGTCCCTATTTAAGTGGTCCCTGATCAAAAAGATTCCTGGTCAAAATGGTATCTGGTCAGTGGTCCTTAGTCAAGTGGTCCCTGGTCAAAGTGGTCCGTGTTCCAGTGATCCCTGTTCAAGTGGTCCCTGGTCAAGTGTTCCTTGTTAAAGTGGTCCTTGGTCAAAGGGGTCCCTGGTCAAAGTGGTCCATGATCAAATGGTTCCTGGTCAAAGTCATCCTTGGTCACAGTGGTCCCTAGTCAAAGTGTCCCTTAGTCAAAGTGATCCCTGGTCAAGTGGTCCCTGGTCAAGGTGTTCCTTGGTCACAGTGGTCCCTAGTCAAAGTGGTCCCTGGTCAAAGTGTTCCTTGGTCAAAGTGATCCCTGGTCAAGGTGTTCCTTGGTCACAGTGGTTCCTGATCAAAGTTCTCCCTGGTGAAAGAGGTCCCTGGTCAAAATGATCCCTGGTCAAAGGGGTCCCTGGTCAAAGTGGTCCATGTTCCAGTGATCCCTGTTCAAGTGGTCCCTGGTCAAAGTGGTCGCTGTTCAAGTGGTCCCTGGTCAATAATAATAATAATAATAACAATCATCAGCATCATCATCACCTTTATTTTATACCCTGCTACCATCTCCCCAACGGTGCCTCGGGGTGACTAACCCTGGTCAAAGAGGTCCCTACTTAAGTGGTCCYTGGTCAAAGTGGTCAAAGTTCTCTCTGGTGAAAGAGGTCCCTGGTCAAGTGATCCCTGGTCAAAGTGGTCCCTGGTCAAAGTTGTCCTTGGTCAAAGTGGTCCTTGGTCAAAGTGGTCCTTGGTTAAAGTGGTCCCTGGTCAAGTGGTCCCTGGTCAAAGTGGTCCCTGGTCAAAGTGTTCCTAGTCAAATTGGTCCCCGCTCAAGTGGTCCCTGGTCAAAGGGGTCCCTGGTCAAAGTGGTCCGTGTTCCAGTGATCCCTGTTCAAGTAGTCCCTTGTTAAAAGTGGTCCCTGGTCAAAGTGGTCCCTGGTCAAAGTGGTCAAAGTTCTCCCTGGTGAAAGAGGACCCTGGTCAAAATGATCCCTGGTCAAGTGATCCCTGGTCAAAGGGGTCTGTGTTCCAGTGATCCCTGGTCAAAGTGTCTGTAGTCAAAGTGGTCCCTGGTCAAAGTGGTCCCTGATCAAAGTGGTCCCTGGTCAAAGTGGTACCTGATCAAAGTGGTTCCTGGTCAAAGTGGTCCCTGTTCAAATGGTCCCTGGTCAATAATAATAATAATAACAATCATCAGCATCATCATCACCTTTATTTTATACCCTGCTACCATCTCCCCAACGGTGCCTCGGGGTGACTAACCCTGGTCAAAGAGGTCCCTACTTAAGTGGTCCCTGGTCAAAGTGGTCAAAGTTCTCTCTGGTGAAAGAGGTCCCTGGTCAAGTGATCCCTGGTCAAAGTGGTCCCTGGTCAAAGTGGTCCCTGGTCAAAGTGGTCCCTGGTCAAAGTGGTCTGTATTCCAGTGATCCCTGTTCAAGTGGTCCCTTGTTAAAGTGGTCCCTGGTCAAAGTGGACCCTGGTCAAAGTTGTCCTTGGTCAAAACACACGTATCCTTGGGAGACCAAATACACGGCTCCTTGGGCGATTTCTCTTTGGTTACATGTTATTAAATGAACCTGTCCTGACCCTATAATGCAGACCATATAATCTACTCACCATCCAATACATTCTTATATAGCAGCGTAGATGGGGGCCTAGGTTTTGGTGTTCTTCTGGGCTTTGTTTGTTGGTTTGTTGCCATATGAGGTTCATTTCCAAGGCCGATCCACAAAGGAAACTCCCCAAAAAGTCCTTCTGTTTCTCCTTTTCGATGCTCATGCAACTCACCAGCACCCCCTGCTTTCCAAACAGGGAGAAGTAGACACATTTGGAGGACACGAAATGCAGAGAGATATAGGATGGGGGCCACCTTCCTTGGACATGTCCACATGGGATTCCACCTACTGCGTCTACCATACGAAGTCCTTCTTAAGGTTTAGGTGGCATCTCTTTCCTTGCCGTTGGAATCCATTGTGTGTAGCTAAAGCAGGAGAAGGCAAGCCTACTCCTCCTTCTCCTCGATGTGACGTTGTTATCCTCTCAATCTGTTGTTGTTGTTGTTTCGGCCTTGTCTCCAAAGCACCATCAATCACTTGAAGGTTGCTCCTAGTCAACCTTGGAGAGCGAGTCAAGGCAGATCCAACAAGGCCTCCTTGCTCAACGAAAGACCATTCCAACAACAACAACAGTAACAACAACATAGTAATTCTATCTTCCTAATAATAATAGTAATAATAATAACAACAGTAACGACAACATAGTGATTCTATCTTCCTAATAATAATAGTAATAATAACAACAACAACAGTAACGACAACATAGTGATTCTCTTACTAATAATAATAATAACATCAACATAGTGATTCTATCTTCCTAATAATAACAACAACAGTAACGACAACATAGTGATTCTATCTTCCTAATAATAATAACAACAACAACAACAACAACAGTAACGACAGCATAGTGATTCTATCTTCCTAATAATAATAATAACAACAACAACAACAACAGTAACGACAACATAGTGATTCTATCTTCCTAATAGTAACAACAACAACAACAACAACAACAACAGTAACAACAACATAGTGATTCTATCTTCCTAATAATAATAGTAATAACAACATAACAACAACATAGTGGTTCTATCTTACTAATAACAACAACAACAACAGTAACGACAACATAGTGATTCTATCTTACTAATAATAACAACAACAACAACAGTAACAACAACATAGTGATTCTATCTTACTAATAACAACAACAACAACAACAGTAACGACAACATAGTGATTCTATCTTACTAATAATAACAACAACAACAGCAACGACAACATAGTGATTCTATCTTCCTAATAATAATAGTAATAACAACAACAGTAACGACAACATAGTGATTCTATCTTTCTAATAATAATAATAACAACAACAACAGTAACGACAACATAGTGATTCTATCTTCCTACTAATAATAGTAATAATAACAACAGTAACGACAACATAGTGATTCTATCTTCCTAATAATAATAGTAATAATAACAACAGTAACGACAACATAGTGATTCTATC